AATTGGTTGTAACGATGGATTTTTAGCTTGAAAAGATATTGAAAGCCTAGATAGTTCTTTGGTCCCACACATATGTTCCTTAAGTTATTCAAGTCATCCGAAGTTAAGGTTTCCAAACTTGAATTCTCATGACTTGCAATTTCGAGTCTTTGAAGATCATAAATTGTTTCCATGTCCAAGGCTGCTAAACCAAGATGTTTCAAATTGCACATGTGCATCCCAATTACCTATATCATAATACATATGAGTATCAATCAATCATAAACTAAATAGTAAAGAAACGATTGAATGGAAATTAAGAGGGACGCTAATTTTAATTACATCTTTTCTTGAGAGTTGTTCTTGTCCTTTATGGCCACGGACGTATAAATCTATAAGAGAAGTTATAGCAAGTTGTAGGCATCTTGATCCAAAAGAGATATCATTTAGGGAGGGTGCTGTCACATAATAGTTTTCAGGCACATGCTGACCATATTTGGTACTGCTTCAAGGCATAATTTGGTGAGAGCTGGGAGATAAATCTCAACATCATTAATATCATCAAGAGAATTATCATCACCATAAGATTTTCCAAACACATATTCCAGCTCATGAGCCAGCTCGATAAGCACAGATTGCAAGTGCTTCAGGTTTGTAGAATAAGAAGCTGTAAATATAGATTCCAACTTGTCACAATCATAGATTTCAATAGTGTGTAAGTTGGGGAAGATAAGGTTGGCATTCATATGATCATGACCACAATGCCCCTCGTCGGTTACTATATGCTCCAGTGCCTTCCATCGCCCAACTTCTAATTTTTCCGATGATTTCAATGATGAGGCAATGCATACAGAAAACAGTGACGTTAACTTGGTGATATCTCCAGCAATCGTCACCTCTGTTAAATTGAATGGGTATAATGGTGGAGTAAAAAATCCATGAGCTATATTCTCAACGTATTTCTCCTTCTTCAATGCCTACAATATTCCATGCAAATATATCACTTCATCTTCAATAAATTAAAATTGTACTTCTTTCATTCCAAATTATAAGACATTTTTAAATAAAATTTTACATATCAATAAATTTTATTAAATGCACTTCATTTAATAGCCTTAAATCTACATTTAATTAGTATTAAATAGAGAGAGAAAGGGTAATATAGGAATAAATTTATTTAATAAAATTTTAATTTTCGTAAAGTGTCTTGTATTTTGAGATAATAAATCTCTCTCAAAAGTATTTTATAATTTAGAATGGAGGGAGTGTATGTTAACTTGTATTCCCAACATGCTTCTCCTCCTTTAATGCCTATAATATTCCATAAAAATATATCATTTCATCTTCAATAAATTAAAATTGTATATGTTAATGGTAAATATTTTGTCTTTTTAGTTTTCTGGTAAGTGATGCAAGCCCAAAATATTGGCACAAAAAATAAGAATTAAGACTATAACAATGTTAGAGTTAGATTATTGAAAAGATATTTTATAAAATTAAATAACAAAACTTAAACTTTATAAACAGTTAGAGGATTAATGACTTAAAGTTTCATGCAACTTTCACACAAGCATAAACTGATCCCAGATCTTAATTACAATATCTTTTAATGGCCTAATCTTTAACAATAAAAAGAAAAAACTATATTATCACTTGCTGAAATTTATTAACAAATGAAATGAAACCACAAAATATTGTTTCCTCAAGAAGTAAAATACCCCTAAGAACCCTCCTTATATATATATATATATATATATATTTGTTAATTAACGAAACCTGAGATGGTGGCATAAAAACACAGTATATACAATCTAAAGCTTTTTAATTACGACTTGGATTTTAATTTTCAGGCGCCTGAAGTGGCTTTTTGGCAAGACCTTGGACTTTAATGAAATGGTTTTTTTTTTTTTTGGGGGGGGGGGGAACTGAATACTTCATGCAAATTGAAATCAAGCAGCAATACAACAAAGTCTGAATTTTACCACAAAAAAAAAAAAAGGTCTGAAAGAGCAAACAGAAAAGCCAGCAATGCAGGAAAAACAGAACAATGAAAATAAAAAATTAAACAGAAAAAGCATAAAAGCTAAGGGAAATCGTCCCACGCCAGAACTGTCAACTGTACGAGAAGATGCAGCCAAAGATAAATTAGGATATTATTTTTAAAACAGAAATGATATATACATCCAGCTCTTTTTTTTTAAAACAAAAATACATCCTCCATATTTTTTCTGGAAATTATTTTTTCATATATTAAAGATGCTCCAATTGTTACTACTAATTAGGAATGGGAGAACTTTTTATTGAGCATAAAGTAGAAAAAGATTTTTATTTTTTTGGAAAGATGGTTTGTTTTCAAAAGTTAATTGTTGCTATTTTAGGTTTGGGATTAGAAAAGATAAGACGCCATATTAAAAGAGACGCTTGATTTGGGAGAGTGGCTACAATGAAAACGACATGACTGATAAAATTACATTTTGACCCTTCTTCTTCTTCTTGTTTGTTTTGTTTTTTGTTTTTTTTTGAGAGAATTACTTTTTGACCCTTCGTTTCAACTGCTTGAAAAAAGTTATTTTCTATTCCATGTTAGATATCATGTACTTTCATTAGTCTATTCTAACGAGGCAAATGTAATCTCCGTTACCAAGATAATGTAGAAAACTAACAGCAAGGGCTCTACGGTCAAAATGATAGGAGTCAATTAATATGGACAATAAATATTTAATTTGAATGGTCCCAATTTAACATTAAAATTTTTTATATTTTTTTAAAAATTGACTATTAAGATTTATTTTGGATGATCTAGATTTAATATTAAAAAATTTATAATTTTTATTTTGGTAAATACAATATTAAAAATAAAAATAAGACTCTAAGGGTACTAATTTTAAATTAAAATTTGAAATGAAAGGGGAGGTTAATTTTAAATTAAACATTATAAACAACTTGATGAATGCATTTTTTTATAAGTAGTGAGCGATTATCTACTCTGTTTATTCTTTTTTTTTAATGAACTCTACTTTATTAATCTTAATGTAAAACAACATACGTCTTAATAATACAATGCTTACATTTTAGATAAATATATGAATTCATCTTTAATAAATTTAAAATACGTATATATCAAATTTTAATTTTAAACACGAGGGATGAGACATGTTAAGTTATTTTAATTCTTTAAAAAATTATGACCAAATAATTTTTGTTCTCATTTCCCATCTAACTTAATTTTTACTACATTATAGATACTATATTAAAAATTATTAACACATTGGAACTTATAAGTTTTTTATGAAAAACTAACTTGTAAATGTCCTGCCCCAAGCAGCACAAAATGGACAACTAGAACATTTTCTTTTCGATGCAGAAAATCTATTAATTAATTCTTAATGAAAAGAAAAGAAACATTAATAAAAAGTGAGAGGGAGGAACATGTATATGTACCTGAGAAGTAGTGGGATCTGACTGAGTTGCCTTGGACATAGATGGATCATCTTTATTTGTAGTGCTTGATTTCGGCAGAAAACAACATAAAGGACCTACATTGTGACTCGGACTCTTGTCTTTGACCTTTAACACCTCACTTAATTTGCTGTTGATTTTTTTGGGAGATGACATTCTGGATATATGTCCACAAATTCTGGAACATCCTCAATAGACATTACTTTCAATGAACATAGCATGATTTCTTTTTGCATTTGATATAACCATCCCTTTTTCGAACATTGCCCAAATATGTATTTTAGATTGTCACACTTTGAAATCTCTACACGTTCAAGTAATGGAAGATCTTCACACAAACAAACTGAAAATATGAATTCCAATTCTTCACACCCTGTAACATTGAGGAGTTTCAATTTGGGAAACAATGATTCATGACTACTACTCTTTGGATCAGAATCTTTATAATCCACTTTCTCCTCTGTTGATGATCCCTCGTCCCTTAATATGCATTTCAGCTCAGAACATTATTTTATCTTCAACGTTGCTAGCTGCTTTAGAGTTTGAGCAGTGGATAGATGAAAAAGGCACGTCATTGAGCAATTCTTTATTTTTATGGACTTTAGATTATCCAACTCTAGCTCACCCTTAAATAATGTGCCTTCCAACATTTGACATGCTTTAACTCCAGCTTCTCTAATTGCTTGAGGAATCCAGTAGGATAATGATCACAACATATTTCTCTTATATTCGCCCTATCAAGTTGCAATTCAACTAACTTGGAGAAGATATTCACACCAAATTTAAGTTGGAGATTCTCAGCATGGACCAAATACTTTATGTCAGACCAAGATGTTAAAGAAAGCTTGATTAAGTCATTCATAGCTCCATGTTCAATTGAAACAAGGCCAGGAATAAGACTGTTATGACTCATTTCAATATCTCCTTCTAACTCTAGAATCTCTGCTTTTGCTATCAATGATTTAATCATTTCTTTAGAGAATATCCTTTGTAACTTTTCTTGCTTGCAACTTTTTTTTATTGAAATATCCAATTGAGGAGAATAGAAATTAGAGAAGCCACCACCATCTATATGATATCTTTGATATTCTGGAAGGGGTGTAATTTGAGAAACCTCTTCATCCTCGAGCATATGATCCTCATTCAAAACATAATACAATTCTTCTAGTTGTGAGCATCTTGCAATCACTTCAAATGGATTATTCCTTTCAATCGAGCAATGTATTAAGCCTAGATATCTCAACTTTTCCAGCTCACTAACTCCATTTGGCAATTCAATTATTAAACAATTGATCAATTCAAGAGTCTCAAGCATTTGTAAGTCTTTTAGCACAGATGTATCACCTGATTCCCAATTGGTTAGGGAAAGAGTTGTGATATTTTCTAGTGGTTGAATTGATTTTAGTAGTGACAAAGATGAAATTCTCCCAAACTCAATCCTAGAAAATAAAAGCAACACCCTAAGATTCTTCATGCCTATAAAGAATTCACATGGAACTTTCAAAGAAGCAATTTCATTGATCCATATTAAGAGAACCTCAAGTTGTCTTCCATTAAAACAATTAGAGAAGTCGTTTATGATCCAAGATGAATATTTCATATTCCTTCAATTTTGGCTTAAAATCCATAAGTACTTGAACCTTTTCATTTGCTATCTCTAGGGCCACTTCGCGAATCACATCATGCATCTTTACACATTCTTCATCGGCCTTCAATAATAAAGAAGAATTTATGAGCTTGTTGTTAACCACATTCACTTGACTTCTTGCTATATTATATTTGTCAAATTCTCCAAAGAGGCCTACACTTATAGAATTTTTGCTTAAAAGCTCTATAGGTATTTCGTAAGCTTTTGGGAATATAGAACACAACAAGAAGAGAACCTGGGCTTTTCTATCTTTTAGAGAAGTATAGCTTAACTTTAAAGAATTATAAAACCTCATTTCAACTTCATCAACAATCTCATGCCTTGATGGTTCAGTATTTCTTAGTGCTGTCAAAGAATCTTGCCATTTTTTTACAAGCCAGTCTTTTAAGGTTTTTGCCGCTACTACAATGATAACTGGTAATCTTCCACACTCATTCACAATATCCAATGCCACTTTTTTCAAATCATCAGGACAATCCTGACCAATTTCAATAGCATGAAAAAGGAAAAGATTCAATGCATCTTTCTCAGGTAAGGCATCTAGGTGAATAATCTTCCTCTTTTGGCATCCCATTTGGGTACAAACATTCTCATTACGCGTGGTTAGCAAAATATTACAGGTACCCGTGCGATGGAACCCAGGCTGAATCCCTATGCTCTCAAGATTGAGCTTTTCCCAAACATCATCAAGTATTATGAGTACCCTCCCAGCATTCGCAATCTTGGTCCATATTTGTTGCGCATGTGTTAATTTCTTTTCTTCCTCTAATTGCAATCCCAATTGCTTCACAACATCATCTCGAATCCTTTTTTCATCCACAGGGGTAGACACATTGGTGAAGATGACTTTGTCGAAGGGCTTTGATTCAACTTGTTGCCCAACTTCTTTTGCCATTGTGGTTTTCCCCGTTCCTCCCATTCCTTGCAATCCAATCATATGATTATGTTCATCTTTAATTTCTGCCTTAAGTCATTCAAATTTCAAGGCTCTGCTCTCAAAGTGTAGAAACTCTTGAGAATGATATGCCATGCCTGGAGCTCCAGCTAAATGGGCAACTTAAGGGAAGTTCTTGTGTTGAACAATTAGTGTTGGAATCTCTTTCATCGCACTCTCTAGTTCCTTGGCTCGTGAATATTGGGAAAAGCAATTGATACACAAACCAAACCATTTCTTTTGTTTAGTGTCTTTGTGAATAATGCCATCCCCTTCTTCAAGCCAGTGCTGAACTATAGGGTCAACCTCAGTTTCATTTATTATTTTGGCTTCTTCTATTTCTCCACGCACACTCTCCATTTCAACAAACAATCTTCCGTTTTCCCTTTCAAAACCTTTAGCATAACTATTGTAACAACACAAATATGGCAGCTCCTTCATTCCTAAATCAACCAATCTTTCGGCACATGTTGTTGCAATATTGGCACCGATCTTTGCCATCTAACATGCATAAGAGATTAAGTTACAGAAGTAACTTGACCAAGATACCTAGGTACACTAACACAAGTAATTTAAAAGGTTTCTAAAACGTGCAAGAGAGATAATCTATAACGTTACAGTTCAACTATGTTGAAGAATATTTTTTGAATGGATTTGGAACATATCTTAGACCAAGAATCTAGATATATAACAAACCTACTCTTATGTAAGATATCTACGACCCGAAAGAGACATATCATATACAGTCTATGATCTGCAAGTCTCATCACCTCTTCAAACAAGGCATCTAGTCTACGATGTCTTGTTGGGATACGATGACTGTACTTCTAAAATTAGTTTAATTTTGATGGCTTTAATTTCCTAGGATGGTCATCCAAGTGCAGAAAATTCTTATGGAGTGATTCAAAACATGAGATCATAAGCAATATCAAATGGAGATCAAGTGGGGAGTAATATACCAATTTGAACCATTAAATCTAGGGATGGCCGCTTCTCTACCAAATCTACCTATTTCAGAAATAGAGGGTATCAAAATGATTAAGTTTTTTTGTTGGTTAGCTCTTAAGATAGATAGAGATTAATAATGAGTGACAAATGGAAATTTATAGGAAATCACTAGGAAAGGAAGCTTCTACTTTAGAATTGTGATGTCTTTATGATGCTTGTGAGATGTGGAGCTAATGTTCTCACCGGATGGCAAGTACCTTTGTTAAGCTCCTCTCTCCCTCCCTCTCTGCGTGCGCGCGCGTGTGCAAAGAATGGGTTCAGAGAGGTTTACGCACTGTAACAATAACAACACCAACACCAAACCTTATTCTACTTGATGGGGTTGGTTACATGAATTACACAATGCTATTGCCTAATGTCATCATGCATTATATATAATAAGAAGTGAAATTTGTGACTGAAAAAAATTCATCACAATCTTTGTGACAAGTTTATGAAGGATTTGTTGTAAAATTCATTGCAGAAAAATTTTACCACAAATTTTGTAATGAATTTGTATTGGATTTTGCAAGGAAAATCCCCCCTGGGTAAATTCTGTAACAAATATAATATTTTGTTATCATGAGATGATTTTTGTTGGGTGTATATTTTTATAAGGTGCTTTGGAAAACTATATATGTCTTAACCCAACAACTTTGACATGGGACAAAACTTGTTCTGAAGATAAAGTACCAGTAAGTTTGCATATGTTTCAAATCATTCAAATTTGATATTTTCCATCTAATTAATGACTCTAGTATAGCTTTTCATAACACTGTGTCTCCGATCATTTGATGAACCACAAATATTTGAAGGAAAAATATTGTTTGATGATGAAACATAAAAAATTTGACTAACTAATTAAAAGAATATTAATAGATCATTAGAGTTAGAAACATTATTTTGTCTAACAATATATACAAAAATTTTTTTTATCAATTTTTTTAAAAAAACATAATTATTTTTAAAAGCAAAACTCGATCATGAAAGAACAAATGATGTAAAGAACATAATTTGAAAGACAAAATGTTTTAGGAAGGGAAAAGAGGGGAAGAGAAAATTATATATATATATATATATGACTCTAATGGCTAATTCAAAAAGAGAAAATTAAAAGATAAAAAAATTTATGAAATGTGAAGAAAATTGGGAGGCTAAAAAAGTAAACTAAAATAATTAAAGGAAAAATGTAACTTTTGATTCTTGAACTTTTCCTTAATTATTGATTCAATCTTTAAACTTAGACTTAAAACAACTCAATTCTTATGACTTCTACTTAACTCAATTTGTGAATTATGCACAAATTAATACAAAAGGTCCACTCTTATTATTTATATGGTAAAAGAAGGCTATGAAATATTTCAATGAATAAATGAACACCATGATTAAAAATATGTATACTAACTTGGATTCAAGAACTTCCAATTAGAGTCTTCAGTATATTCAAGCTCCACGTGATTAAAGAAGACAAGCTCTGAGAAATAAAAAATGTGAGAGTTTAAGATATTAATTAGCTACATGAATATGTATTTAAAATTAAAGATGAAACTGAGAGGACTTTAAAAAATACTAAGCATATCGAGAATGCTACAGCTCCTCATGTGCAAATATAAAATAAAAAATATCATGAAATACAAATACTTGCCTCTCTTTCACAGATTTCTATGCCATTTTGCTACAAAAGCCTTTGATACAGTCTTCTTTTGTTTCTCTTTCTATTTATTTTTTGGATTTTTTTTTAGGAGAAGAACGCCACAACTGATGATTAATGGAAGGAAAAATCAATTGAAGAGTTTAAACACAAAGAAGAAGAGCACACAAAAGTATTAAGAAGCAGAAATTGCAATGATTGGATAGAGAATTTGAACACAAAAGACTTGATTTCTTTTTCTTTCTTTCCCCTTTTTTTTCTGTTTTGGAGAAGGTGAAGAACAACTATATAACAAAGACTAACGGACATGAGAGTAACTAAAGATCAAATTCAAATATAAGGAAATCAGTCTTTTAAAATAGGTCCCTTCAATAAAGAAACGACCCTTTTTTTCGCTTTTTGGTTTTGCAAGAAGAAGAACAGCAAAACAACTTTTTATGAACAGAAAATTGAAAAATTCAAGGGAAGAAGAAGGAAATAAGATACACAAATTAAAATGGTTTGAAGAAGAAGAATTTTTTTTTCCTTTTCTTTTTCAGGCAAGAACAACAGTGAAGAACTGTCAATTAACAGCAAGAAAAGTGAAGGAAAACACTCAAGAGCAAAGGGATATATGAGAACTAAGAAGGAGTACGATGAACAACGAAGAAAGCTGTAATAATTGGATGTGAGTTAACTCTGAATTTAGAATATTGTAGCATAGAACTAGGACTCTACAACTTTACAGTGTCTCTGTTGATTGGAATCTGTTGATAACTTGATGTATGGTTTAGGTATATATATATATTATGTACTTTCAAGACGCCAATTTACATTTGTTAAAAGATCAATTACTTCATATATGGTTTAATGGATGCTTGGCTTTCGAAACATTGAAATAAGGTATTATCCTCCAAGAAACAATTTTGCTTTTGTTGAGAATTACTTGATGCCATTAACTTTGCTGTCCTAGATTGAACCTTTTTCTTGCATAGTATAAGGCCTCATGTGGATTTATTAAGAATTTGTTAAGGTAGAGTTTGGATTGATAGCTTTGAATTTGGATTTTAGATTTGAAATCTTCCACTTCAAATCTTATAATTGAAATCCATGTATTTAAAGTCCTTCATTTGAGTAATTTAAAATTTTTTTTTAAAAAAAGAAGAGAGATGAACTGAGATTCAAAACAAAAATAAAAAAATTAAAAATGACAATTTTATTTTTATTTTTTAATCAACGAAAGATAAGAAAAGATACAAGAATACAAGAATCATAGATGATGACTTCCAATATTTTATTAAATTTATTGGTGTTTTTAATGTAATTGGAAGTCATTTATTTGAATTTTTTAGCAAAAATATAATTAAGTGGATGATTGTATGTGAAAATGAGTATGTAAATGTGATTGAAAGTTAGTGGACCAATTCTATCTTTAATTATGGGTTTTATGCATGTAGGGAGGCCTAATTTATGAGCCCAAAGATGAAAATTTTGGAGCTCAAGTCAAAGGAAATAAATCTAAAAAGAAAATCTGAATAGGTCATGTTCGCTGCAGTGAAGCATTATTTTAATAAAACACACAGTTTTGATCTCCAGCGAACTTTTAGGGTTTGAGGACCTCATTTTCGACCATTCTTCATCTCCAGCGACTGCAAAATGTCTAGGGAGCGCAAAAAGAGCCAAAAGAGGATTAGAGAAGCTTGAGTTTAGTGAAAAATTAAGGATTTTACTCAAAATTACTCCGATTAAGCTTTTCTTCTCTTACTTTGCTATATATATATATATTCCTGAATTGTACTATTATCATTAGAGCCATGCATGGCTAATTTTCTCTTAATCTAGAGTAGCTATGAACTGATTCTTGGATTAGAGCATGTTTAAACCATTTATTTGATCTTAATATTAATTTTGTTTACTTAATCTTGTGCTTATTTGTCTACTTAATGCTTGGCCACTATTAAGTGTAAATTTGGGGGTTTAAGTTTTGCCTTGGAAGAGGAGAATCTTAATTTGACCATTATATTGAGTAATATGGGATTAGAATTATTTCTAATTTGCCAATAAGATAGGAATATACCTATTGGACCCATATAATCATATTAAAGTAAGTTTGTGCCTTTTTGCCTCTTGGGTATTTATATTAGGAATAATATATTAATTCAAGATAGGGGTGTAATTAATCGGAAGATAATTATTCCTATTAATACTCTAGATTAAAAAATTAATATTAAGTGAATTTATTTGGGTAATTACATGCTTTATAAATTGAAGAAGGGATTAGCCATCCTAGGTTGTCTTGTTTGTTTGTGGTTGTTGGAACTTTTATTTTAGTGCATTTATATAATTTTTATTTTTATTTTGCAATTTC